ACAAATAGGAGTGCAGCGCCTAGATGTTTGGCCAATCGCTTATTTCTATTCGATTATCACTTATTTAAAGAATTATTGTTGTAAATACATACAAATGAAATAAAGGAGGAATTTGAATCACTCAGTTCGGTCGTTTTCACCACTAAACTTTTTAGTACTAAACAGAAAAACCTGTGCTCATTTTTGTTTAAAAATCTGATTGCGGTAATATCCTCTCATAAACCTCACTGCTCTCAAAATTTCAGTTTATGTCCAAAACACTTCTGATTTATAACTCACTTATGGCCCAGGTAATTCTCAGTAAAACTTAAGAGCTTTATTTGTTATAAATGTACTGTAATTACACTATCATCACCTGTGAGCCACTGTCATAAAATGGGGTAAATTAGTATGAAAATACTTTCGGTCCCCTGCATTACTATTTAACACAGACAGGGCTTCTGCCAACAAATAACAAATGGAAACCTCGCCAATCAGTGTAGTACCAAATTACTAACAAACAAAATCCAACTGGTAAGTTGAATCAGTCATTGAGGTCACAACCTTCAATTACCTTTAAAAAAGTTCACTGACATAAACAGATCTTAAATTTCACTTTTTTCCTTACTTCGTCGTTATCTCTGCCATAATCACAGACTTAAGCGATGCTCCGACGAGTTCCACAGTTCTGACAGCGACAATGTTAATACTCGCATTCAGTCCTTTACATTTATTCAAAAATATTTCTTCAGTAATTTTACAACATTTAAACGCATAAAATCTATACAAATCTTGACAGTGAGGTAGTTCAAGCAACAGATATATACATATATTTTTGCTAAATGCCATTCAACGCAGCAACATACAAAAACTTACATATATACTTATATATACAAATTTTATAGTCAGACAAAAATAACCCTTTTCTAGGCAAAAGTGAACGTTTCCATTACAATTTCCAAATAAAACATTATTTTCAATTCAGGCTCAAACAAATAGAATAATCAGTTTCATAGAACCATCTTAGAAGAAGAAATGCGAGTATGCTGCACCTTCTTTTGTTTCATTAAAAATAACCGGCTTCTCATCCCTTTCTTCAACATTCAGTCGCCAACAACTCCGAAATACCGCTCATCTGAACTCGTGATGTAGACGTTAAGAAGACTGGGACTTCCACAATTTTCATTTTGAATCATTCAGAAAGATCAAACCACAGACTCCACATTCTCTCCAGCAGTACATTTAAACTGTTGTTCCATTCGATTGCATAATACCTCTTTTTTCACCTCGTACCAAAAATTCGCGACACTCCCGATGCTTTCTTCTACAGAGATCAGTGCGGTCCAAACAATGCCAAAAAATGTTTCCACTTTTTCCTGATCTTCAGCCTAGATTAGCGATACCAGTGCAATTAAGGACATGAGCATGACAAACGAAATGAAAATCGTCCATATCTGCCATAATTTCCATGCTGCTAGGCAAAACCTAAAGAAGCTAGGTGAGAAAAATTTTCTGATTACAACATTACTAATTTTATTTACAAGCTACTTTTATCAACTGGTAAATTCGTCAATAACATTTCCCAACCTTCTTTTTGTCATTTTTTTTTTCCAAACAGAACAAGTTTAATTAAAGTTGTCTACGATTTTAAGTGCTCGAGAAAGTAATGATTAACAACTGCAAATGGTCTATTGTGAAGATAAATAGATTTTTTGTTCCATTTGAACATTTTGGAAGACTGCCATCAATTAATTTGAACAAAACCAAATTCTACCAGGCAATTTTATGTAATTTTTTTCCATTTTTTTTCTCTAAATTTGCCCTTTCCTTCTTCATTCTAAAACTTCTGCCTTACAAAGTTTTAATCAATGTAAAAAAAAAAAAAAAAA